TTAAAATGGTGTCAGTACGCGATATAACACAAATATTTAAAATGGTGTCAATAAGCGATATAACACAAATATTAAAATAATGTCATTAAGCGATATAACACAAATATTAAAATGGTGTCAGTAAGCGATATAACATAAATATATTAAAATGATGTCAGTAAGCGATATAACGCAAATATTAGAATGGTGTCGGTAAGCGATATAACACAAATATTAAAAATAGTGTCAGTAAACGATATAACACAAATATTAAAATCGTGTCAGTAAGCGATATAAAGCAAATATTGAAATGGTGTCAGTAAGCGATATAACACAAATATCAAAAATGGTGTCAGTAAGCGATATAACACAAATATTAAAAATAGTGTCAGTAAACGATATAACACAAATATTAAAATGGTGTCAGTTAGCGATATAACACAAATATTAAAATGGTGTCAGTAAGCGATATAACGTAAATATCAAAATGGTATCAGTAAGCGATATAACACAAATAAAAAATGGTGTGATTAAGCGATATAACACAAATATTAAAATGATGTCAGTAAGCGATAAACCACAAAAATTAAAATGATGTCAGTAAGCGATATAACACAAATATTAAAATGGTATCAGTAAGCGATATAACACAAATATTAAAATGGTGTCAGTAAGCGATATAACACAAATGTTAAAAATGGTGTCAGTAAGCGATATAACACAAATATTAAAATGGTAACAGTAAGCGATATGACACAAATACTAAAATGGTGTCAGCAACGATATAACACCAATGTTAAAATGGTGTCAGTAAGCGATATAACACAAATATTAAAATGATGTCAGTAAGCGATATAACACAAGTATTAAAATGGTGTCTGTAAGCGATATAACACAAATATTAAAAATGGTGTTAGTAAGCGATATGACACAAATATCTAAAATGGTGTCAGTAAGCGATATAACACAAATATTAAAATAATGTCATTAAGCGATATAACACAAATATTAAAATGGTGTCAGTAAGCGATATAACACAAATGTTAAAAATGGTGTCAGTAAGCGATATAACACAAATATTAAAATGATGTCAGTAAGCGATATAACACAAGTATTAAAATGGTGTCTGTAGGCGATATAACAAAAATACTAAAGTGGTGTCAGCAACGATATAACACCAATAATAAAATGGTATCAGTAAGTGATATAACACAAATATTTAACAGGTGTCAGTAAGCGATATAACACAAATATTAAAATGATATCAGTAAGCGATATAACGCAAGTATTAAAATTATGTCAGTAAGCGATATAACGCAAATATTAAAAATGGTATCAGTTATCGATATAACACAATTATTAAAATGGTGTCAGTAAGCGATATAACACAAATATTAAAATGGTGTCAGTAAGCGATATAACACAAATATTAAAAATGGTATCAGTAAGCGATATAACACAAATATTAAAAATGGTGTCAGTAAGCGATATCACACAAATATTAAAATGATGTCAGTGAGCGATATAACACAAATATTGAAATGGTGTCAGTAAGCGATATAACACAAATATCAAAAATGGTGTCAGTAAGCGATATAACACAAATATATTAAAAATGGTGTCAGTTAGCGATATAACACAAATATTGAAATGGTGTCAGTAAGCGATATAACACAAATATTAAAAATGGTGTCAGTAAGCGATATAACACATTTACTAAAATGGTGTCAGTAAGCGATATAACACAAATATTAAAATGGTGTCAGTAAGCGATATAACACAAAAAATAAATGGAACTGTTTCGTGTTTCAATTACGAAGGAAGCGAAGTTTGACGGAGAGACAACACAAGCACATGATTCAGCCATTTGTATTCCTTTCAGAACACTCAACACGAGCTAGTCTTACAGTACATGTAGTGAATCGATAATACTCTACAATAGTAGGTACGGTACCTCGGGTGAACCTGATCAGTATTCGTTTCAGATACATTGAGTTTTGGCTACTTAAGGTTACTTTTCATGCAACGGTAATTCGATGAAACGATGCCATAACACCCATTTCAGAAATCGGGCTATAAACATGCATTGAATAGCACATAGCAAAGCTCTGATTGGCTGTAGATTGCCTTCTTTCAATTCTGACGTCAAGATTAGAACAATGTATGGGTGTAAGAGACGTCCAACTGCAAAGTAGCGTCAAATGGGGAAATATTCGGAGTCAAAATGTATTTTTTAGATTTCAAGCAGCATGAGGAAGTTTTGTTTTCACGAATATTCGCAACGCATCTTGGTTATATTGTTTACAGAATCGTACATTCGTTTTTATATGATTTTTTTTTTAATTTATCGCGCAGTTTTATGTCGTCAGAGTCGTTTCAAAAGATCTCATATGACAGAAGAACTTGTATATGACTCTGTTTGTGTATTTAAGACATCAACTGATCCCACTATTTATTTTTAAACTGTCGATGGGTTATGTTTTTAGTGCTTACGGTGACAATTTACTGTATTGTTGGCATTGTTCGCGGGTGATTCAACTTTGCTACTGTATACTCGCGGTCACAAAATATTAAATATCCAGTGGGTATTATATGTAAAAGCAGTGAATATATATAAGAAAGCAGATAAAAGAAAATCCTGTTTACCCGTTTACTGGCAAATAACGAAGATAAAACAACAATTCAATATTCGTAGTTTATTTTGACAAAACCCCTCTTATTAAGTAACCTTCATGAGCGCGATATTGTTTTCCTGGCAAAGTTATGCGAAATCAAATACCACGAACTAGGTCTGGTCTGTCCAACCGCAAAATTGTAGTCTCGCAAAAATTAATCAATGGATTTTGGTGATATTTTATTAATGTGATAAAGATGTAAATGGCAGTTGTTGAAATCCTTGGTCGATGGCGTCATTTCCAGCACAGACATGTGGTTAAATTGACCCATATCTTGGCACAATAAGATGTGTAATCCTTGTCCTGATAACGAAAGTCTACATTGTGTACATCATATATATGTACCTTCGTTATGAATGGATAAATATCAAACGTTTACAATAATTGCTTATTGACGATGACGTCACAATCGTACGTAAATCATATAATCTTCTTTGCCAATATGTCGTCTGTCCTTATTAGATAATAATACATCAATTTTCCTTCGCCAAAATATCTGTAATGAAGTAATTGTGAAAGCTTACCGCGGCCAATATTTTACGCTGAGCTGTATAAGACTATGGAAAACTGCACTCGCCATATATGCTGTTTTGTGATGTTATCAAAACAAGAGGTGTATGGGATTTTCTATTTCAATTTAAAACCTGTTGACCTCTGTACATTCTAATCAAAAAGTGCGAAAATATCAGCTGTAGCAAGGATTTATTTCCTATGGGGTAGCGGTGGCACGAAGGACATTAATATATTTCTTTATCCATGCCCACAAATCAAATATATGGTTATGAAAAAGTGATCTCAACTCCTCCCAATACCAAAAGTAGATGCGGACACTCGGGTCTTATCCTAGTAACATCTCTTCATATCCACTTATTGTATATTTTGTTTAAGGTGGTGATCTTAACTGGCTCTGTGTTAAGACCCAAACATCAAGTCCCTAGGGATAGAGCTGGATCCATGATTCAATTCTGGTAGTATGACTGATTTTGTCTTTTCAAGCCTAGCGATTGTATATAGTTATAAGGAGGGGATATAAATTGTTTGATTTTGCAAACTTTGTCAGGCTCAATCCCGGGATTTTTTAAGCCAATGTAAGACTGTTGACATTTTAGGTCTTTAGAAGAAGATGTTTGAAGTTTTTGACATATTTCACATTTTTAGTCAAGGTTTTTTTGTCCAAAACATTTTTAGACTGCATCAAAGCAACTACCAGCTAAATATATGACTCTAGGTCGTCCCATTCTTCAGAAGAAGGTTTTTGACATATTTGACTTCTGTGATTTAGAAAGAAGGCCAAGGTTAATTAATGTTCCGAAACTACGCGATGCTCTATCCCAGGAAGCAACTAGTAACATGGCATCATTATCTTCAGAAGAAGTCGTTTGACATTCTTGACATATTTGACCTCTATGAACTTGAAAGTAAGCAAAGGTCGTTTTTAATCTCAAATATCTTTGGGTTCTGTCAAAGGATTGTACCAACTTAATATCATGATTATAGTCCTTTTGATTCTTTTTTATAAGTCGTTTGAAATTTTTGACCTATCTGACCACGTTGACCTTGATAGTAGGTCAAGGTAATTTTGATAGCAAACTTTGTTTGGCTCTATCCTGAAAGCTACAAGCCAAATATCTTAACTCAAAGTAGTTTTGTTCTTCAGAGGAAGTCTTTTAAAGGTGACGACGGAAAGACGATGGACGCTGCACTACGCCATAATCTCACCTGGCCCTTCAAGCAAGGTGAGCTTATAAACAACCACTCTGTCTTACATTCATGATTTATGCCATATTTAATACCAGAATTATCTCTTTCTACATTCTGGAACTAAGTGTATGACAGTTAAGAATGGTATCGCCAATTAACATTGTACCGTGCTGCACACCACGTGACCTGATAGAAAACAGCATTAACACCCTTTGGCTAATGCCATCCAGAACACTCTTTAAATGGTGTTAATATTGTTGTTTTTGTATGTTTTTATTTTTATTTTTATAACAAGTCAAGCGCTGTCTATCCCACTCACTCACTCACTTAGTCATTTTGTCTGTCTGTCTGTCTGTCTGTCTGTCTGTCTGTCTGTCTGTCTGTCTGTCTGTCAATAGAGCGATCGATCAATTAATCTATCGATCAATCAATCAATCAATCAACGATAAATATAGGACACTGCATGCTAGGTCTATATGTTGAAACAATCTTGTAAGCACTGATTTGGTGTCCTGAGTAGGTCTCCATAACTGTTTATGGAAGATGGAAGATTTACGACAGATATTTTAAATTACTCCAATTCGTCTCCTCTCGCGTGTTATCACGTGATGTTAACGTCAAGTGGATCGACTTCCGGTTATTATCGTTTAAGTATGAATGTCAAAGGCGCACATTGTATTCTAGCTCCATTAGACAGTTATTACATGCGATGACGGGTCACTTACGCTAACGGAAGTGTTAGACCTACTTAAGATATAAACTTCCAAACGAAAAGGTTAACCACATAGCTGAACACTGCAAACGAATATTCTGGTAGCTGTGAGAACTATATAAAGCCAGCAAAAGTAAACAACCTCGCATTCTGCAGTAAACATTTATTGGATAGAGACGGAATTACGTCTTTAAGATGCTTCTGAAAGTTGGGACGTTAGCTGTGGTGTTGGTAAGTGAAGTTTACTTTTGTATATAAAAACGTTATCTTTTGTGAAGATCATTTTGCAATAACTGTCATTTTGACACTAACTGTCTATTATGTGTAATGTATAAACTGTAATTAAAGCTGTGATCTGCAAGAGATAATAAGCGAAAACATTTTAATAGATTGGTCTTTGTTGCATCATTTCACATATTACAGATGTACAACATACTCACATATGATTAATTGCAATTATTATTAATATGTTTCTTATTGGTTCTGTTTATATTTAATCCGTGATATGGGGGTGTTCAGTTATTTATATATTTGTTTTGTTTACAGGCCATCGTGGCATTTGGTAAGTCAATTTTCATTTTTCTTATTAATCCTTTGACGTTTATCCGCTATCGCCACAAAACACAATCGTTTAACTAAATATAGGTCATTTCTATCCTAAAAGCATCATCCCTGATGATTGAAAATGTGTTTGTTAGTTATTTGGAATACAATTATCTAATAACCGGTAAATATATGACATCATACATGAATGAACAGTAGAAATTGCGTTCATCATGCAATGAATGTTATATATTAATATGTTTGTTGGATATTGGATTTTTTTTTCGGATTGTCAACAGGGAAAAATGTACAAAGAAAAAATATATATGTAATTCCTATAAGAACATATATGAAGTTGTGTGAGTAAAACAACACTGCATCTCATAAAAAGACGAGTTGATAATGGATAATTTTGGACCCGTTAAAGACTTAGTAAATCCTTAAACATTTTAAAAGCATTTCTGATACAGCACAGTATATTAGAGGTTGTTTGTTGACAATGGCAAATAACATATGCTGCATGAAATAGAAATATAGCATCAATGCAAAAAAAGACAGTTATAATTATATAAAGTGTAAACAGTATATGACCGTAAACAATTTGTTGTTTTCTATGAAATATGTAATAATTATAACACTTTTGTAAAGCTCATACATGGGTATGCCCCAACTACTGCTGTAATAGAAATGGAGTTAAAGGCAAAAAATAAACCAAAATCAGTGGAGCAGAACAAACAAGTCACAGTGACATACTTTTAGTAAATTGGTGTGATAACTCTTATGAAATGTCAATATATGAACTCTGATGAACTTGACTTCTAGTATTACAGTACTACAGCTATAAAGCTACTGTTAGTATATTGGTGTGATAACCCTCAAGATATGTCAATATATGAACTCTGATGAACTTGACTTCTAATATAACAGAAATATAGCTAAAAGCTACTGTTAGTATATTGGTGTGATAACCCTCAAGATATGTCCACATATGAACGTTCATTAACCTTAACTTCTAGTATTACAGTAATACAGCTATAAAGCTACAGTTAGTATATTGGTGCTACTGTTAGTATATTGGTGTGCTAACCCTCATGATATGTCCACATATGAACGTTCATTAA